AGATCTACTCCGTGCGTGCAGCACTCTCTTGGTGTCTTCCAAGACAGCTTCACCCAGAAGCGATGACGAGTTTTTCTCCTAGTCCGGTCGTACAATGCCGCATTCGACCAAATCGCTTGCCTTCAAGGCACTGCCGAACTCTTCAAGGGACATCTCGTCCAGCTCAAGAAGAGCATCTACTGCAGGCATATCCTCGAGGCGGTCGTCGCCATCTTCCTCCCCGTCATACCGTTGACGAGGGTGTATAACTGTGTGCCGTCGTCTACGGTAGACACACCCTGGATCAGGGACGACGCCCGGCGTCTTGCAGCCCAAATACGGCGTCATCGTCGCCTCGGTACAGAGGCTCTATGTCTCGGTGAGACCAGGGTAAACACGCACTCCGCGTCGTCCGGTGTCACCCTAACTTTCTGCTTCTTTGGAGCTCCGATGTTATCCACAACATCCGACGAAGAGCTGCCAACCCCGCAGTCTCCGTCCATTGAATACCGTGCCACTCCACGCGCATCTGAAGGGCCGTGTCCAAGATGCCTCGGGCTCTGTCCGACCACGCCATCAATGACATGAAGCGACTGCTTTGCAACGAGAGCAGTGCTCAGTGGTTTTCGCACCACTCCACGCGCATCACGAAGGCCTCGGCCCTTGGCCGACCATGTCACGCATGACATGCAGCGACTGCTTTGGATGTCCAGCAGCGCTTAGTGGTTTACGTGCCACTTCACGATATGCTCGCGAGCCACGCTCGGGACTCCTGTCCAATGCACAGTTGGTGTCTACTAACTCGGAGAGTCCAATGTCTAGCACGTTGACCGTCTCGGTCCAGTGCTCTCGCTTATAACGCTTTTGACTCCTAGCAGAGGTGGGTTCATGACTCGCCAAAGCTCCACCAGGAGACGTGAGCGTAACGCCCAAGGCCTTTGACCTTTGATCAATTCATGGCTTATGGTGTTCTAACCATGCCATTCCTAGGATGAGGTCATACGTTGCATCCAAGTCTAAGACTAGACAGCGTTCGACGCTATCAAAGTCAAGAAACTTGACTCCGAGGTCCACAGGGACCTTCGGGACCGTGA